GTCCCCCCCACCCCCCCTTGCTTACAGCCCGGGGACACTGAAGACCAGGGTTGCATGGGTAACGAGTTTTGCTCTCAGGAAGCCCCAGATGTGTACTGAGCTGTTGTTAGGGCTTGTGTGTGGACCCAGTGAGCATGTGTGTGTGCGCGTGTGTGTGCCTATGCATGTTCAAGTGTGTGTATGTGGAGCCCGTGCCTGATAACAAACATCTGGGGAGGGAGAGGAGACCAGATCCACTCCTACCTGCCTTGTGATTTCTTGTGCCCTTCACTTGCGTGGCTACCTCAGTAACATGAATCACTGGACGTCCCCGCCCCGCCCCCTCTGTCCAGGGTGCTGGGGAGACATGGACAAGACCCTTTTTTTTGGGGGGGAGGAGAACCCTGGAGCAGGGAGATCCGTGAGTATTTTCCACTTTCCGGCTGTAACAACCTCACTGATCCACTTCACCTGTCTGCCCCACGTTGCAAATAGGAAGCAGGCTCCGAGCAGAGTTACCTTGGGAGACGGTGTTAGATCCAGGCCTGGCTTGTGGGATGTCCAGGCCAGTTTGTAGGCAGCCCAGAGGAGCCTCTCTCCCCTCAGTACAGCACCTGGTGCCTTCTGCCCACCCAGTGCTTGTTAGGGAGGGGCTCCTGGACAGAAGGAACAAGGCAGGCTGAGTCCTGTACTACCCAAGGAAGCTGTCTTATCTCCTGTCCCTTATCGAGTCCAGGGGTTGGGCCTTCCTCTCAGCCTCTGGGGGCATCTGCTGATTCTGTTCTGCCTTGTCATCCAGCTAGCCCGGGAGGAGTTGTAGGGAAAGCCTGACCGCCCAGGCCTCCTCTCGTAAGCTACAGTAAGCTGGGGCCTCAGGCCTGTGGCAGGGCACTGTTTGGCCCGGTCAGACAGTAGGGTCATCTTTGAATAAGCTTTGTTGGGTTGTAGTCAAAGTGCAGGATGATGTAGCCAGACTGAGGACTGGTGCCCCCCCCCCCCCCCCCCTTACCCCACCCAGGTCTGCCACCCCTCCACCTGGGTGGCTTTAGACAGATTTTGTGTGTATGTATGGTTCGGTCCTGGGCCTTGCACTCAGGGCCTGGGCTCTGTGCCTTGGCTTTTTCATTCAAGCTTGGTGCTCTCCTACTTGAGCCACAGCTTTACTTCCAAGCTTTTTGGTTTTTTTGGATTTTTTTTTTTTTTTGGATAGATAAATCGAAGATCAGCATGTCCAGGCCTTCCCTGCCTGAGCGGTCTTTAAACTGAAATTTCAGATCTCGGCCTTCTGAGTAATTAGAATTACACGAGTCAGTGGGTGCCCAATTTCTCAGTCCCTTTTTTTTTTTTTAAGGAAGTGTCACAAAGTCGTAAATCATGAAATGGACTGTGTCAAAATCAGGCCACAAGCAGACCCGATAGCTCACCGTTGAAGGGATCTGAGTCCCCATTGTGGTGTGATAATCCTTGGTTTGCTTATAGATTTGAGCCCTCGGGAAATGCTGGGTGTGTTTGAAGTATGAGTTGTGAGAGCTGGGTTTGAATTCTGCTTGTGCTCCGAGATCTTGGGGGTGGGGGGAATAACTCCTGGCTCAGAGCCTGTACTTTCTCACGAAATTGGATTCAATCCCTTCAACTGGATCTTCTTCCTTCCTTTTCCAAGGGCTTAAAGAGGCAGGGGTGGGAGTGGGGGTAGGCGGGGAAGAGGGTACAGGGTAAAGGGGAGCCCCACCGTGGGGCTGTGAGTTCCAGGACAGGATATTTGCATATGACTTTGCTTTTGCCTTGATGTGGCTGGGAGGAGGGGGGGGTGGGGAGGAAGTAGCTGCGGGGGGGGGGGGGGGGGAAGGCGGATGGCAGGCTGGGTGAGAGAGGTGGGGGAGGGCTGGGGTAGAGTCGGGGAGGAGTTCCCCTTCTGGGAAGGCCTTGCCCCGGGGTTAGGGGGTTGAAGGGTAGAAATCTTGTCGCTGTCAGTGAAGCAATGATCAGTGCAAATGGGGTACAGGGTACCCCAGGGCGGCCGGCAAGTTTCTCAAGGGGAGCCTGCAACACTTCCTCCTCTGGACAGCTTCCTTGGGGAAGGACCCAGACCTGCCCTCCTTAAAAGGCAGATAGACACTTCTTTTTTTTCTTTCCTTCTTTTTCTTGTCATGGGGTTTGAACTCTGGGCCTGGGCGCTGCCCCTCAGCTCTTCAGCCCAAGGCAAGCGCTCTGCCACTTGAGCCACAGCGCCACTTCCGGCTTTCTGCGTGGTTTATTGGAGATCAGAGTCTCATGGACTTTCCTGCCCGGGCTGGCTTTGAACCATGATCCTCAGATCTCAGCCTCCTGAGTAGCTAGGATGACAGGCGTGAGCCACCGGCACGTGGCTACACACTTCTTTTATACTATCTACTTGCACCCAGGCTAGATGGGAAACTGAGGCCAGGCAAGGAAAAATGGTTCTCTAAAGCTATAACTGAGTTGATTTTGTTTGTTTTTGTTTTGGGTCCTTGGGCTTGAACTCAGGTCCTGGATGCTGTCCCTCAGCTCTTCAGCCCAAGGCTAGCGTTCTACCACTTGAGCCACAGCGCCACTTCCGGCTTTCTGAGTGGTTTCTTGGAGATAAGAGTCTCATGGACTTTCCCACCTGGGCTGGCTTCAAACTGTGGTTCTTAGATCTCAGTCTGCTGAGTAATTAGGATTACATGGATGAACCACCAGCACCCAGCTTTGTAACCAACAAGTTCTTTGAGCAGGGACCTACCTCTGTGTGTGTGTGTGTGTGTGTGTGTGTGTGTGTTGCCAGTACTAGGGGTTTTTGTGTTTTTTGTTTTTTCAGTCTGGTTGAGGGGCCTGAACTCTGGGCCTGAGCGCAGGGACCTACCTCTGTGTGTGTGTGTGTGTGTGTGTGTGTGTGTGTGTGTGTGTGTGTGTGTGTGTGTGTGTGTGTGTGTGTGTGTGTGTGTGTGTTGCCAGTACCAGGGGTTTTTGTGTTTTTTGTTTTTTCAGTCTGGTCGAGGGGCCTGAACTCTGGGCCTGAGCGCTGTCCCTCAGCTCTTCAGCTCAAGGGTAGCGCTCTACCACTTGAGTCACAGCTGAGTCTGGCTTTTTTCTTTTTGCTTATATGGTGCTGAGGAATCGAACCAGGGCTTCAGGCATGCAAGGCAAGCGCTCTACCACTGAGCCACCTTCCCAGCCCCCAGTACTAGGTTTTGAATTCAAGGCCTCTCGGTTTCACTTGGCTTTTTTCACTCAAGGCTAGTGCTCTACCGCTTGAGCCACGCCTCCACCTCTAGCTTTTAGCCACATTTGGAGATAAGAGTCTCCAATTAAGAGTCTCATGGAAAGCCGGGCGCTGGTGGCTCACGCCTGTCATCCTAGCTACTCAGGAGGCTGAGATCTGAGGATCGCGGTTCAAAGCCAGCCCTGGCAGGAGAGACCATGAGACTCCGATCTCCAATAAACCACCAGAAAACCGGAAGTGGCGCTGTAGCTCAAGTGGTAGAGCTTGAGCTGAAGAGCTGAGGGACA